TGTTCTGGCCCTTGATATGGAAGATTCCACTATTTTCAGAACTTCATTTAAGCAGTTTATTTTCTGATGAAAAGAGTCTCCTCTGTCACTTTCCCCTGTATGCCTTCCCTGCGTCCTAGAATTTCCATTTTAGACATTTTCCAGAGCTTTCCTCTACTGAGAATCTAGCATCTGATAAATCCAACTTAGCAGTTGCCAAATCAAGTACCCTAATGGAGGCGACATTCCTGCAGGTCCATGTCCCCAGCTACAGCCAAGTAGTGAGGTTGAGCATACGTTTTCCAGTTCGCACACATGCATGCATACATATACATATACATGGCTGGCCACACAGTTCAGCACACACTGATGCACACTCTTGCTTGGTCTTCTTGCTTCAGAGTCTCCTTCAGACATAGGCAGTTTGCTTCTCAAAAGGCTCTTGAGCCCCTGGTCTGAGCTGATGCTTCCCCAGGGTGCTCCCACTTGCACTCTCCTTGCATTCTCCTTGTTGGAACACCCAGTGTCAGAGTACTACTAATATGTCTTAAAAGCATATGCCTTAAAGGACCTGACCAGCCTCACCACCCCCTGCCCACAGGCCCAGGAGCCCCATTTCAGCACTGCCCAAGGTCTTCAGTCCTTGCCTGAGCTACACCATAGGAGTGCTGGCCTCCATCTCAGCTACATCCATGCCTGTGCCTGGCCAAGGGCCCAGCTGATCTGGACCTGACCTGCAGACTGTCTTTCCTGACAGATAGTCCTATCTCATTGCCACGGACCTGCCCACCAATTACATGGGCTGTGCCTGACCCTGGTTACCCTCACTGGAACAGACATGACAGCTCTGCTCATTTTGTTCCATTACTGTGGGACTGAGCCCAACTGGCTATGTTATCACACTCGGCCTTTCGGGAGTAGCCAATCCTTGCTGCTCCCAGACCCCCACAGGGTAATGGCTGCCAGGGGCTGCCTGTAGAAATCCCCTGGTTGCATCAACATAACTGGAGAGCAGTGCAATCCCTGTCAGCTCTGGTACCTGTCCTGGAGCTGATGGGAAAGAAACCCCTAAGGACACTGGAAAGGAATCTCAAAGGAAGGGAGGAACTGGGTATCACAAATGTGCCACTCTAATCTTAAAGGGAAGGCATTAAAGACAACCATAGAACAAGTACTGGCTGAGCACAGTGAAGCTAGTGAGAGCTTCGTTGTTGCATTTCAGAGGGTATATGCTTTTATAGATGCTCAAAGAAGGGAGGCTGTTGGGAGACTTTCATTCCAAATGCACACAAAATATGGTTTTCTGTAAGACTGCAGAAGAAAGCCTGGAAGCAATGCTGGGTTTGCTTTTAACTACATTTACAGGATGGGACGTGGTAATAACTTCCCTTTTTGGTTCCTGCAGATATCCTCCTAGGGTGAGCAATCAGTGAGGGGGAAAAAACAAAACAAAACAAAACAATGGCAACGACAAGAGCTTCAGGTGCATCTTCCCCTCCTCTTCCAGCTAAACTGTGCACATAAACAAAACATGGCTATGAAACTTCTCTGAGATGTGCCAGTAAGTTTTCCATTTACACTTCACTTCACAACATGGTAGTTTGCACACTTGATCCACACCAGAGGACTCAGAGGATTCCCTCACTCACTCACGCACCATTCAGACTCCTGTCCTGGCCACACTGCCCTCAGATCGCTTCTGCAGATGTGTGGCCTATGGATTCAAAACTTACCCCAAGCGGGTGAGTATCGTAAAGAAAAGCAGTAATTTGCTGCCCTTGGAAACCTTTCCAGCCATGACTATGGTCGGCTACATCACACACTTTGGCAAAGCAGCCACAAAGATGGGAGAATTGATGAAAAGCTCCTCGAGATGCCTAATTTCAAGTGATCCCCTACAGACCCCATGGGCAGGTGGCCAGGACCCCAAGGCATTCACCCAGCTGGAAAGAGAAGAGGGGGAGAGGGGAGCAAACCTGCCGGCTGGCAGCACAGCCTCTAGGAAACCAAGACAGCTTGGCTGGCTTCCATGACGGGCCTCCAGCCTTCAGCCCTGCTCCAACCCTTGCTCCAAACCCTGGGTACGGGCAGGTGCCCTGCAGGGAGAAGACAGGCTGAGGAGCCTGCCCACAGGGAGACGTTGCTCGATCCTCGGAGCAGTGCCGCCTCCGTGTGCAGCAAACGGTAGCCATGGGGGTCGGCAGCCCCTTTCGCCACAGGGCTCAGGGGAGTCATCTGCAGAAGAAGACAAATGCCAGCTATGGCTCTGATGCTCAGCTCTGCACGTGACCTGCTAGGCAATGGTTGACTAAGAGGGTGCAAAGAGAGCCAGCTTGGATGTGTGGGAGTTCCTCTGAGCAGAAGCTTCCCTGAGAGAAGCCTGCCCCCAAGTGCCCTCCAAAATGATCCCAGGGACAGGTGGCCAGCCCCGCCAGGCGTTCACCCAGCTGCAAAGAGAAGAGGTGGAGCAGGGGGCAAGGCTGCTGAGCAGAAACGCCTTGGCCTTTCCCAGAGCTGCCCTGTGTCATCAGGAGCGCCTCCCGGCCCACCCCCGAGGGAACGATGCACAGTGCCTGTGCGACCAGTGTGTCACGAGGGCAAGGGCCATGCCCCAGGCACAAGACGCCATTTCACATGCTTTTATCAGACTCTCAGGCCACAGCACGCGATTCAGCAAGAGTGATTCAACAAAGAGGGCAGTCCTTGCCTTTCCTTGGGAGGGGTGGGGCAAGAGCTGCTGCTCTCTTCTCACTTGCTGCTGGCAGGGGCACAGGCAGCCAGCAGCCTGTTGCCCGAGCCACCTCTTCTCACTCTTCCTCTTCTTCTTCTTATTCAGAGGTGAGGCCACTGGCTGGCTGTGGGGAACAGCACTCCCCTGGCGCCTGGGTGCACCTCTCAGGAGCTGCTTGAGCTCAGGGCTGCTTTGCGCAGCCAGCTGCAAGTGCCGTGGAGAAATGCGCTGCTTCTTGCTCTCCTTGGAAATCTTCCCAGCCACCTCCACGGTGTGCTGCGCCACGCACTGCAGTGCGGCTGCCAGATAGATGGGGGCTGCGGCTCCAATGCGCTTGGCAAAGCGGCCTCTGCGCAGCAGCCTGTCTATGCGGCTCACAGGGAAGAGCAGCCCAGCCCGGGAGGAGCGGCTCACTTTGCTCTTTGCTTCGCTGCCTTCAGAAGGGCCCCCAGCACAGGCCGCTGCAGGCTCCCCCTCCCGCTCAGGCACTGGGCACACCTCCTCTGCTCTGGACATCCTGCCCGCAGCTGGCTGCTGCCCGTCTCCTTGCGCTGCAGAGGCCCGTCTTCCCGTGCCCTCCCTGCCTTGCCTGCCTGGCCTCGCTTTCCTTGCTGGGGCTCGCTGCTGCTCTCCGTCTCCGCTCTCAGCTTGCCTCTGCCCTTCTTTGCCAGCCTGGCCAGGCCTTGGCTGTGGCGGGGCAGCTGCAGGTGCTCTGGCCAGGCTCCAGCCCGCTTTTTTGGCTAAGCGCCCTCTGAAGAAGCAGCCAGGCCTCTGCCCTGTGCTGGGGGCGCTCGGAGCCTTTGCTCCTCTGTGCAGTGGGAGCCACAGGGCTCTCCTGGACCAATAGGAAAGCACCTCCTTTGTGACCCGAAACGGGGGCACGGCGACATCACCTCCCCCCTTGTGACATCGTCCTCGCTGGCTCCGCCCTTGGCGGGCCAGCTCAGTGAACACCTCCGCTCCGCACGCAGTGCAGCACAGCAGCACCTCTCCAGCTGTTTCCAGCAGCCACAGGGAGGCTTTCCCAAGCGCGTGGGGCAGGGAGTTCTTTGGGCTGGGCGCTACCGGGCCCAGCGCTCTCGTCTGCATGGAGCTGCCCTGGCAAGAGCTCTCAGGTCAGCCCGTGGCTCTTCCCTCCAGCCAAAGTCCACATTTCCCTCCTTGGGCACCAGAGCTCCTTCCCCTTCCCCTTTCCCTCCTTCTTCCCCCTTTCCCCGTCCGTTGCCCGTGCCCTTCCCCTTCCGCTTTTCTTTTCCTTTCCCATTCCTTGCCCCTTCCTCTTCCCCTTCCCTTCCTCGCTCCTTTCCCGTTGGGCAGGGCCAGGCGGAAAGTGACCTGGGGGAGGAATCCCACACCAGCCCCAATGCCTCCTCTGGCTAACTGAGAATCAGCTCTCTCGGACCCCGCAGTGTCCTTTGTCCCACTCGCCGAGATCAGGAGCAACTCCACCCCAGTACCTCCAGCCGCACCCCCGCTTGGAAGCCAGCTCCAACACCGGCCGTGCCAGGTTTGTGCCCGTGATGGGTACAGCTGGGCCATGCTGCCATGCGGCCCAGGAGAAAGGTGGCAAGTGTGCTTTGGCTGCATCTGGAACCTCAGGGCTCTCAGAGCCCTCGACAGAAGCGGCTCAGTGAAAAACACCGGCCCTCAGGCTCTGCATGCGCAGTCAGCCGTGGGAAGGGGGGCGCTGCAGGGATGAGCCTAGTGTTTTCTTCCCTCCCCACCCCGGGGGGAGTGGAATGTCTTCTCCTCGCCTGATCTTTTTCCTCTGCCTTCAGGATCTTCAAAGTGGCCACAGAAAAGCCATTCAAAGTGAATCCCAGCTCTCCTCTTTTCCATGTCCTTTTAAATCGTATGCTGTTTGCTCTCACGCTCCAGGTTTCGGGGTGAGTTTTGTAAGCGTGCTTCGGAGCCCAATGGGATGCAATGGCACTGCTTGTCAGAGAAGAGTCACTGCTGGAGTTGCTTTTCTTCCTTCAAGTTTCTCTCTAGCATAGGTACCAATGCTTTAATTCACACTGCTTAGTGTAGGAGCAGTATTGCACGGATCCAGTGCTTTTCCTTTTGTGGTCTTCTGAGAATAATTTCTTTGCTGTAGTCATAGTATTTTGGAACTACTCTCTGCTAGAGAGTCTCCTGGAAAGACTGCAGTATATTTGGAGCTCCATATGCAAGATCCTTTCAGAAACAGTTTTTTTCAGATGCCTGTCCCATTAGCAGGAACGCCCTCATTCTCATACTTGCCTACTGATATCAGCAGTGCATTCTTGTTCCTTTCCGGTCTCGCCTGAGGTCTTAACATTGATGTCATGTGATTTTTAATGCCTTGGTCTCTGTAAACGGACACAGATGCAAATTAACATCTACGAAGGCTATATAATGGCATTTCTCATTACAGGAGTTCTAAGAATTGGGGCTCCTGATAGTCACAGTCTTCTCTCAGACAACGGGAACTTTTCAATACAATAAATGTTTGGTTGGTGGTATCTTACAGATCCGTAGGATTCAATTTTCCTACATTTCTTTAGCATATAGAACACTAGAAATCTACCTTTAAAAAAGAATAGCTAAGATTCTCAATTTCACCTGATTCTAACAGCTGGGGTAAAATACTAACTATTGTAGGAGACTTCAAATGCAAATACTTTTGTGAAGCAATAGCAGAAATTAAAACTGTGTTCTTGAATTGTTCTGCCCATAAAGGCTTCCAGGCTACTAAGGTTATCAGGCCTGAAGTTTAGCTTTTGTCCTAGGTCTCAGGGAACAGAGGCCACTTGTTCTGTCAAAAACTAGCTGCTTCATCGCAAGCGAAAAGCACAGCAGAGAGACACTGCTAATTCTCCATATAAGAAAGCTGGGAACCAACCACCCGCTCTGGGAAAATGAGGTCCCTTCAATTTCCCCAATTTCAATTCAAACTTCCCATCTTACTAATCATTCTGAAAAACCTTGGGTTAAAAGCTGCATGCAGACACCTCACAATGGGCAATAAGACTGTGCTGATATACGAAGTGGGCGACAGCATCCTCAGTGATGGTTTTGAGCACTCCTTTTCACAGTGATGCTTGAAAAGCTGCTGTTACCGATCATGACACAATGACCAGAAGGTGGCAGCAGGTCTACATTAGGACCATCCAAAGAGGCTTCCCCCCC